AATCCTACTTCCGTAGTGATACTGCCTCGGAAACCCAAGGAGGGGTCGCTATGAGTCGGGGCCGACTCGACGGCACATAACAACAACAACATGATGAAGAAGAGTAAATTGTAAAATTTTACTCCTAAATTAGAAATTACCAACATTAGAACTATTTTTAAAAGAAAAGAAAAAGAGCCTCTTTAATAACAGATTCTCTATTACTATGACCTGGTAAATCCTAATCACTACGTATTTCATTCAAACAGATTGAGTCTTAAAAAACTTGATACCAAGAAAATTTAATACAAGCATGAAAACAGTTTTCTTATTCTACTAGGTATGCCAATTTGCGCTTCCATTAAATTACAGTTGTTTCTACCTACCTTAAATGTAAGATCCCCAACTTGTTGAGCAGTAAAATCTCCAACAGTAATATATTCTTTATGTGTTGCTTGTTTGTGAGATTGATCTTCCTGTTTTTCTTTCTCTTCTGTTCCTGTTTCCTCATCACCACTTTCTTCACTGTTGTTGGCATTGTCTTCTTCATTGTCTTCTTCATCTTCTTCTCTTTCTCCTTCTTCTTCTTCACTTTCTCCAACAGAATCATCATCTTCCTCTCTTTCAGTAAGTGTCCCAACTCTATACAAAATAGTTCTATGACTAGGATCATTTGAAATAACATACAAGAACAGATCAAGTGTAGTTCTATAAAGAACTGATCCAAATTTAGAGCTAGCACATAAAGGAATTAAAGGGAAAATACAACTAATATTTTCAATCATCTAGCTGAGAATACATGACTTGAGAGACTGAGAGTGTGTCTGAGGAATGTATGATATGGTCGAGTATGTATAGGGCTTGATTGAGGTCAGGAGACTTGAATTCAAGTCCTGGATTCATCCATTCAGCAAATATTGAATGACCATTATTGCACAGTAGTTAGAATATAGGCTTTGGGCTTATATTCTGGCTCTGTCTCCTCTTTGTTGTGTGACCTTGGGTAGGTTTCTTTTAAACTTTCCATTTTGCACCTGTAAAGTGAAGATAATAATAGAGCCTGACTGATAAGGCTGCTGCAAAGATTCGATGAATTATAATTAGCAAAGTATTTAGAATACTGCCTACCCACAGTAAGCTTTCCATGAAAGTTAATGATGATGATGATGATAATACATGTCAAGTTCCATGTCAGGCTCATTGGAACAAAGCTGAACTAGACACATGTTCCTGTTCTCAAGAAGCTTACAGTGAGACATGGTAGATAATGGGTAATTACAATATAGTTCATTAAGTACTACAACAAAGGTATACAGAGGACACTAAGGAAACACACAGAGGGACACCTAATCCACCTTTCATAGGTAGGGATCAGGAAGAGCTTAGAAATAGGCTTTGAAGGATAAGTTGGAATTAATCAGGTAAAAAGAACAGAAAGAAGGAAGAGGAAATAAAGGGCTCGAAGCCAGGGAATTCAAGTAGGGAAAACCTACTCCCTATAGGACAAAGAGTTGCTCCATAAGATTTCCAAGGCTATAAATCTTTGTGGAAGCAGACTGTCTCATCTTTCTCCCAAGGAGTGGCTGGTGGATTTGAACCACTGACCTTTGGGTTAGCAGCCGAAAGCCTTAGTCATTGCAACACCAGAGCTCCTAATAGGGAAAGGCTTGGAGGAAATAAGCAAGAGGATATAGCAGCCCATTTGAGCTTTATTTTTAAGATAGCTTTAAAAAAAATTCTTTATTGTGATTAGTTGAAAGTTTACGGAGCAAACTGGTTTTCTATTCAACAATCCATATACATTCTGTTTTGTGACATTCACTACAATACCCACAATGCAACAGCATTTTTCCCACTTTCTCCCCATCCCCACTTCTTCCCTTCATCTTTCCTTCCTATTTATTCCCTTCAGTCTTCCTAGCTCTACCCTCAGCAAATGTTGCCCTCTTGATCTCATACAACCGATTGTTCTAATGAGTGCATACCTTCCTGATATTACTGTTCACTTTAAGGCTGAAAAGATAGCTTTATTTTGAAGATGAACATGATCAGATTTGCATTTTAGAAAGATAACAATGTGGAGGACAGATTGAAAGACAAAAGACAGAAGGTAAGGATGGTATTAAAAATGAGAAATAACAATAGTATGAACTAAGAAAATAGCCTTAGGGATGAAGAGAAAGACATGTTGGAAAGATACTAACATGGTGAAATGGGAGTTGAAGAAGAGAAGAGCAAACATAATACTAGTTTGGATAAACCAATAAATCTTTCTGAGATTCATTTATTCATCAAAAGTTAAGCAAAGTCATCAAATATTTATTGGGTACCTATTATATACCAGACATTATGTGTTTGGGGTACACCAATGACTAAAACAAATAAAAATCCTCACCCTCCTAAAGGCTACATCAGAGAATATTATCTTTAAAATGTAGTAACTAATGCAAATGGACAATACTAATTATAAGTCTAGCTAACTGTAAGATATTCTCTGGAATAAAGAGCACTATTGGGTTCACTTTGTTGAAAACAGTATTAGTACACTCTTACACCACATTGACCTAAACAGAAACAGGGACTTAAAAACACTTTTTACACCCTAAGAATGAAAATCTAAGGAACTGGATGTAGATTTCAATATTCTGCCTTCCTCTCTTAGGAGATATTGCATGTATTTTATATGGGTCAATTATTCTAAAAGGTTGCCAAGGATAATGGGAACTTGACATGATCATTTACAGTTATTCTAGTTCATTATGTTAATGTGGTGAATTTCACTGAATGATTTTCGAATGTGTTAAACCAACCTTGCATTCTGAAACAAATCTTACTTTGCCATGATGTATTGTCCTTTATATATCTTGTTGGATTCTATTTGGTAATATTTTATATTGAGTTAGTATATTCATTTATGAGGGCCTTGTAAGTTTCTTTTCTTACAATGTTCTTGTTAGATTTTGATATCAAAGTTATCTAAAGTTCATAAAATTAGTTTGGAAGTGTTTCTTCTTTTTCCATTCTCTAGAAAGATGGCATTATTGGTGTTGGTGTTGTTGTTAGGTGCTGTTGAGTCATTTCCGACTCAAAGCGACCCCCTGCACAGCAGAACGAAACAGCACCTGATCTCGCACCAGCTCCATGGTCCTTGCTATACTTGAGCCCATTGTCGCAGCCACCATGTCAATCCATCTTATTGAAGGCCTTCCCCTCTTTCGTTTACCCTCCACCTTACCAAGCATGACATCCTTCTCCAGGGAATGGTCCCTTCCGACAACATGACCAAAGTAGGTGAGACAAAGTCTGGCCATTCTCGCTTCTAAGGAGCATTTTGGGTGCACTTCCTCCAGGACAGATCTGCTAGTTCTTTTAGACTCCTCCATCTGTTCCAGTCCCCTTTGCCTTTTCTGTCCTCTCCCTGCTTTCCTGCCTTGCTACTTCTAGGGCGTGGCCTGGGTTCCCTCTCCTCACTTGGATCCCTGCGGCTGACTCCTTGATCTGTTCTGGTCCCCTTTGCCTTTTCTGTCCTGTTCCTGCTTTCCCACCTTGCTGCTTGTGGGGTGTGGCCTGGGTTCCCTCTCCTCACCTGGGTCCCTGTGGCTGACTCCTATTACTGGTAATATTGGTTTTATTTCTTCCTTAAATAGTTACAATAATTCATCAGTGAAACCACCTGGGAGTTTTCTTGGCCCTAGACTAAATTTATTTAGTAAATATTTTGGAAGGACTGTTCAAACTTTCTATTCATCTTGTGTCAATCTTAATAAGCTTTATTTTTCAATTTATTTTATCTAAATTTTCTAGTTTATTAACATAAAGTTGTTGATATCTTCTTAGCATCCTTTTAGGATTTTAGTGATTTCATTCCTGCTTTCTTTCATCTTTTCTCCCTTCTTGGTCAGTTTTGCTAAGAGTTTATCCATTTAATTAATTTTTCCAAAGAATCAACTTTAGGCTTTGCTGATTTTATCTATTATATGTCTATTTAGTATTCATTTTTGTCTGCTCTTATTCTTATTATTTCCATCCTTCTATTTTTCTTGGTTTAATTTTGTTGTTCTTTTTCCGGCTTCTTAAGTTAGATGTTTCAATAATTGAATTTCAACTTTTCTACTATGCCTTTAAAGCTATCAGTTTCTTTCTAAGCACTGGTTTATTTGCATACCATGAGTTTTGACATGTCATATTTTTATTATCATTCAAAATATTTGAAAATTTCCACTGTAATATTTTATTTGACTCATGGATTATATAGAAGCACACAATTTGCAAACATCTGGAGATTTTGTATAAATATACCTTGGAGATACTTGCAGGTGAAGTTCCAGATCACTGCAAAAAAGTATTGTAATAAAGCAAGTCACACAAATTTCTTAGTTTCCCAGTGCATATAAAAGTTATGCTTATACTATACTTCAGTCTATTAAGTGTACAATGCTGTTGTTGTTGTTAAGTGTCATCAAGTCGGACCCAACTCATAGCGATCCCTTCTTGGGCTTCCAAGGCAGTATCACTACAGAAGTAGATTGCCCCATCTTCCTTCCGAGGAGTGGCTGGTGGGTTTGAACCACCAGCCTTCTGGTTAGCAGTCAA